GTGTAGGTGATCGTCACCACACCGAAGTCCGGCTGCCCCGTCTTCGGGCACAGCGACGTGAACTCCGGCTGGCGGATCTCGATCCGGTAGTCGCGGTCGGGGAACTGGTTGTCAAACGTCTCGAGCAATTCGCGCGACATCGGTGGCGTGGCGGCAGGGCTAGCAGGGGGCGTGCTAACGGTGAGGCGGGGCGTTGTGAAGGAACCTGTGAGTTTGGCATGATGGGGCGGTGCGGGGTAGGGGAGCGCGGCTTCCTCCGGTGACTTGCGTCACCGGCTCCCGGACCCTTGGTACACGCTCCCATCCCGTTGCGCCGGGAGCCGGTGACGCAAGTCGCCGGAGTGAACCCGCCTTACCGCCCGCCACCCCGCCCCGCCCGCCGTGCCCGACCCCCCCAAAGCCGTCGTCCTCCTCTCCGGAGGCCTCGACTCCGCCACCGTCGCCGCGATCGCCAAGGCAGCCGGTTTCGCCGTCTACGCCCTTAGCATCGACTACGGTCAGCGACACCGATTCGAGCTGCAATCGGCGGCCCGCGTCGCCGCCGCGACGGGCGTCGTCGAGCATCGCACCGCGCGGATTGAACTTGGCTCGTTCGGCGGCAGCGCCCTGACCGCCGACATCGAGGTCCCCCACGGCCGCAGCGATGAGGAGATGGCCGGCGGCGTGCCGATCACCTACGTCCCGGCCCGCAACACCGTGATGCTGTCGCTGGCCCTCGGCTGGGCCGAGGTGCTGGGCGCGGCAGACCTCTTCGTCGGCGTCAACGCGGTCGATTACAGCGGCTACCCCGATTGCCGACCCGAGTTCGTCGAGGCGTTCGAACGCCTGGCGAACCTCGCCACCAAAGCCGGCGTCGACGCCGCCGCCGGCGTTCCCGGCGCCCGCCCCATCCGCCTCCATGCCCCGCTGATTAAACTAACCAAAGCCGAGATCATTCGTCGCGGCCTCGAACTAGGAGTCGATTACCGCCTCACCCACACCTGCTACAGCCCCAGCGAAGCGGGCGTCAGCTGCGGCCAGTGCGACGCTTGCCTGCTGCGGAAGAAAGGCTTTGCGGAGGCGGGGCTGACGGATCCAGTTGCTTACCCATAGAAGTTCACCACAGAGACACCGAGGGCACTGAGGCAGCACTGAGGAAAAAAGTTGGAAAGGTTAAATGTAGGAGGGGTCTCCAGACCCCGATTACGGTATCCATTCCGAATCGGCATGGAGCACGTAATCGGGGTCTGGAGACCCCTCCTACAAAAGACCTTTCTCAGTGCGTCCTCCGTGCTCTCTGTGCCTCCGTGGTTAAACAACCCACCCCATGCGTATCGCCGAAGTCTACAAATCGATCCAAGGCGAAGGCCTCCTCACTGGGACGCCCTCCGTCTTCGTGCGCGCAAGCGGCTGCAACTTGCGGTGCTGGTTCTGCGACACGCCGCATGCCTCGTGGGCGCCAGAGGGGCGGGACCTCTCGGTCGATGAGATCGTCGCCCAGGTCGAAGAGTGGGACTGTCGCCATGTCGTCCTCACCGGCGGCGAGCCGATGCTGTTCGCCGAGCTGATACCGCTCTGCGAGCGATTGCGACGCATCCGACGCCATGTGACGATCGAGACGGCCGGCACGCTCTTCCTGCCGGTGACGTGCAACCTGATTTCGATCAGCCCCAAGCTCTCCGGCTCAACGCCCGACCCCGAACGCCACGCCCACTGGGCCCGCCGCCACGAACGCTCGCGCCTACGGACCGACATCGTCCGCCGCTTGGTGGCCCGGCACGTGTACCAACTGAAGTTCGTCATCGACGTGCCCGACGAGCTGCCCGAGGTCGAGGAGTTCCTCAACGACATCGGCGAAGTCGATCCCGAACGCGTCCTGCTCATGCCGCAAGGCGTGACGCCCGCCGAACTAGACCAGCGCGCCGCGTGGCTCAAGCCCTACTGCGAAAAGCAGGGTTACACCTACTGCCCCCGCAAACAGATTGAATGGTTCGGCGCAACGCGCGGCACGTGAGCGTGTGATGGGCGTTTCGTAGCGACACCCGCGGCTAGCGTTACAAACCGCTCAACTTCACGAACCGCCGAGAGCCCACGACACTAGTCGTGGGAGGGTGCCACAAACCGCTCACCTTCCGAACAACGTCGAGCCGGCGACGCCAGCTCAATCATGAAATGCGTCGTCGGTGTGTAGCACGCCTTCACGGCACCGGCGCAACCGCCGCCTCCACCGCCGGCTTCGGCGCCCCCCCCTTCGGCGCGAACACCAGCACCAGCGCCGCTCCGCTGATCACCAGAATCAATCCGGCGAAGAACCCGCCCAGCATCATCGGCGACATCCCCTCGGCGCCGCCGCGTGCCCATAGCGCCTCGATCGTCGTCACCACCGGCGCCCCGCCAAACACCAGCGGCATCACGTACATCGGCTTGCCGCCGAAGTTGAACGCCAGGATGATCCCCAGGGCGCCGATCGCGCCCGCGGCGCCGCCAGCGAGGCTCCAAAACGTGCCCGAGAAGTTGTAGCTGCTCGCCTCGGGGAAGCTCGCCACCAACAAGAACTGCGGCACGATCACCGCGATCGCGAAGTAAGCGAGCCCCACACACAACAGCGGCCGCAAACGGCTGTGGTGCATCGCGGCCTGCCCCTGGTGCAACACGGGCCCGTAGGCGCCCCAGCAGAGGATCACCGTGGCGATCGAGAGGATTTGCAGCAGCCAGTTAGCGCTCGCAGTGGCGGCTTGCTCAACCTCGGTCTCAACTTCTTGGGTGATCGATGCATCCGCCGGCGCGTCGGCATGGGCGACCGCAGCGGGGCCATGCGGGGGCGGGCCCGGCTTGCACACCAACACCACCACCGCGCCGATCACCACCATCAAGAGGCCCGCGATAAAGATCGGGCCGACCTCACGGAACTTCTTCGCCCAATAAATCGTGAGGATCGCGTTCACGACCGGCGCCCCGCCGAACACCAACGGCATGACGAACGACGGCCGCCCGCCGAACGTGAACGCCATGATGATCCCCAGCGCGCCGACCGCGCCGAGCGCGCCGGCGACGAGGCTCATCACAATGCCACGCGCCGTCCAATTCCCTTTCTCCCCCTTGGTCGCCAGCAGCACGATCGGCACGACGACACCGATCGCGAAGTACGCCATGCCGACACAGACGAACGGCCGCAGCCGGGCAAACTCGCCGGGCACGTCCGACATCGCCGCCTGCCCGCGGTGCAGCACGGGCCCATAGAGCCCCCAGCAGAGCACCGCCAGAGCGATCGAAGCGACAACAAACACTAGGCCACGCATGGCGGGTCTCGAAGAAGGGGAGGGCGGTGAGGGGGAGGACGCCCCACTCTAAACGAACGCGCGACAACCGACCACCGCAGCACTCTTTACCTGAAGCGGAAGCGATCTGTAGGAGGCGTCTCCAGACGCCGATTACGCGCAC